CGCCTGCGGGAGGCTCGGATGGGTCATGGATCCAAGCTCAGAGCGCTGACCTGTCTGGCATGACGTCCATCGGGGTCGCGCTGAACGGCGGACTTTATGCGAGCGACCCGTGGCGCAATCAGGCGCAGCAGCTGCCTTTGCCTGCGGGGCCACCCGCCGCGTTCGCACCCGTCAGCGGGGCCGCGACCCCATTCGGCACTCCGCAGAGTGCTGGGGGTGCCAACCGCTTGAAGGCCAGACTCCGCAGCATCAGAGGATGGACCCTCAACTCTACCAAGCCTTGCAGGCCACATCGCCCCCTGCATCTCCACGTGCTGTTGCGGGGCAACTTGCCGCTGCAGATCAGGGGCTACCCAGAGGGCCGAGGGCCTACTCGGGCAGCAGTAGTGGATGCGCGGGCAGATGCGTGAGGCCATGGGGAGCATGGGGCGGGTCGGAATTGACTTTCCCAACGCCAACTAGATTCCGCCCTGGGAGTATGTTCCAGATGCCGGCCCATCACCGGACCATCCAAATCCACATGGATACTGTCCAGCGTTTTTTCAGCCATCCGATCTATGATCCGACGGTTGCTGAGAGGCCTGTGGCATCAATGTGTGCGTCCATATTTCCTGATTGCTATGCGCGGGCGACGGGTATCCCTCGGGGCCCGGCATTCAACCCGGAAGCCCGTGCGTTCGAGCGACGGCCGATGATTTCTATAAGTCCCAGCTCACGCGGGGAGCTGGATACGAGTCCGGTATCCCAGGCCAGGTGCCCCACCATGGGTACCTGGCAGCCCCCATGGGCCAAGAAGTGAATCGACGCGGCCCAGAGCTGGTGGCACCTGCGTCGATGGGGGAGCTGCGTCCCGAGATACCGGCCATCCACGAGGCGCAGCAGGCCAACCTCACAACAACTGGCTCGCCAACGACGTACTCAGGAGCGACAGCTACGCCGCGTGATGAATCGTGCGGGGGCACCCGCTGCTCCTGCCGCTGCGGGGCAAACCGCCATTAGTTTGTCAACAGTGGTCGCGATGGGATCAATGCCTGTGGGGCCACCAATGGCACCTGCAGTCCCACCTAGCCGATATGAGATTGGAGAATCCACGCTGGTTCGACAGACGCGCATCAGGCCATCAGCAACACCGCCGATCATATGTGACGGTGGTTTCACCAAATGTGCCATATGCCTGGAAGAGTTTGTATGCCACGACAAGGTGTGGAGGCTTCAGCGTGGCCATATTTTTTCATGCGCAGTGTTGGGATCGCGTGGCACGCGCGCGCGTGGAGCGGCAGCTGGAATGAGCACCAAGTGAAGCACCGTGCGCTATTTGCAGAGGTGTAGGCCTCACCACAGCTGAGTTTCATTGTGCCCTTGCCTGGGGGCATGACGCAGCGGATCGACGTGGGGAAATATTCTGCGGGGCGAATGAATTCAGAGACCTCCGCGAAGAACTGAGCCGCATCACGGCGATGATGACAGGCGCTGCAGCTACTGCAGTGCCGCCAGCTGCATCTGCGGGGCAACCTGCTGCGCCTCCCTATGCGTGGCCGAACCCAACAGCTACGGTGCCAGCCGCAGGAGTGCAGTTGCCTCTGGTGGCCGAATCAGCAGCTACTGCAGGGGCACCTGCTGCAACGACGCCAGCAGGGTTGCCTGGTTGCCTGCCAATGAGGCATGGCTGAGGCGCGTGGAAGGAGCCGCTGAGGCAAACTCGCAGTGGCTTCGCACGCCATGGAGCAGGGTGCCGGGGAACCCGCTACGTTCGCGCAGGACCGAGAGCCCAGCGAGTGTGCGCAGCGGTGCCATTGCCATACCTGAGCGAGACATGCTGCGCGCGGTGCTGATGGTCAATGCAGATGGCCAGATGGCCGTGCGCGCCGACGAGGACACCTTTGAGAACATTCCACTTGCTGAGCAGCATCCCTGCCCTATCGCAGAGGAGGAGGTCAGGGGGTACATGAACGTCTTTACATCTATGACGAGGGGTCAGTGGGTGCTGGATCAACGGCGCCGGAAAGGCATGCGCGGCACGACGCTGTCCGCTGTGTCGGGCATATTTGGTGAACGACATGAGTTAGCCCTGGCAGGGAACCGTGGAACCATGGTTGATGGAATGCTGACTATCCAGCTGAACGCTGGCAGCAATATCGAAACGATTGGTTTGAAAACTGCGCAGACAGTCGAGCGAGTTTCACGCTCACATGGTTACGGCATCAAGAAGCTAGATATGACAAAGAGACTGTATGTGTCTGGAGTTTGGCATGGAGCCGCCGTTTGCGACAAGTCAGTGCAAATTTGCTTGCAAGGACAGGGGCGACCCCGCGGGGGCACCCGCTATTGCCAGGTTAGACACCTACTCAGCCAATCTGGCAGAGGGATCTGGCGATAATTTACCCGCAGTCCTGGGATTCAGGAGCATGTCAAAAATGCGCGCCATCTTGATCCTGGAACAGGAACATGAACATATGATCATCCTAGGTGCAGACATGCACTGGCTCCTTTTTGGTAAAGGCGCCAGGGTGCTGGACTTGATAAAGACGCCATCAGGGCACCTGGCGATCAAGGTCGACGAGTACGGGGTCGCAACCGAGGCTAGTGGCTCGACGGCGTTTACTGTCGGCCAACCCTCAGTGCGAGGAGACGCCCGTGCTCATCGAGGAGACCGCAGATGTGGAGCCGACGGCGGGGCAACCTGCATCCAGCAGTGCGGGGGCGCCCGCTCCTAATGATGCCCGCGCATGCACGATGTCCCACGACGCCGGGGGCATCGGTCACTCCATCAGCGAGGAGACTTTTTTTCTTACGCGATCCAGTCTATGGTGGAAGCCCTCAAGACCTGGCATCGCAGGAATACGGTGTTTGGTGGCAACCCCGCGCCCGCCGATCGGGATTTCGCCTTGCGGAGCTTGCAGGTGAAGGTCAATCAGGCCATATGCGGGGAGGTCAGCAAGTGGGCACCGCATAACAACGCTGCGGGGCAACACGCTGTGTCGAGCGACACTGCCGAGAAGTGTGACATCTGTGCTTCGAGCAGTGGTTCAGGGGCCCATGGCGCGGGCGTTTGGATGCCCCCATCGCTCGGACATGAGTGACGGGGGCAGGCGCGCGCCGCGGCTACTCGCGCTTGCGCGGTCAGGCCGAACACTGAGGTGCTGCCTTCAGGCGCGGGGGCACCTGCGTACTTTTCCCAGGCGCCGGCGGTTTTTGGGGCGGAGGGCTCGGATTTTTTGTTCGGGCTCCCCGTCTTGGGCCCTTATTGGGGCCCTTATTGCGGCCTTTTGGGCGCCTGTTGGAGCCTCTTGAGCCGTCCTTTCTGGGGGGCCTCTTGGGCCGTCTTCAACGCCGTGAACGCCGAAAACTCGTATATGCTACAAGTGTACGTTTTCGGATGGAAAATCTATGATTGTGGCCTCTTGGGGCCTTCTTGGGGGTGCTCTTGGAGACCTCCTGGGACGTCTTGGAAGCTTCTTGGACCGTCTTGGGGCCATGTTGGGCGTCTTGGCTTGATCTTTGGGCCACTCGGGGCCCTCTTGGGCCATTTTTGGGGCCGTCCTGAGCATTCTGGGCTCCTGTGGGACTTTTCCAGGTTTCGGGGCCAACGAATCTGGGTGGCGACCCCCCCCGGGATCCCCCCGGGACCCCCCCGGGACCCCCCCGGGACCCCCCTGGACCCCCTGGGACCCACCCCTGGGACCACCCCCCCTCCCCCGCGGGGAAGGGATCAAAGGGAAGGGTTTCCCTTCGACTCCACTACGCTGCGACGTTGTTCAATTTCGCTTTGGATGGCGCGCGTGAGGAGGAGGGCCCAAGGAAGGGACGGGGGGCGACGGAGACGGTGAGGAGACGACTGTGACGACGACGGAGACGACGAGGAGACGACGGAGACGACGATTCGAACGGAGAAGCACCTCACACACGCCGACAGGGTCGGCGGATTTGGTTCCCGCCCAGCTTTGAGAGAGGTAGGGGCAGGGGCAGAGGCAGGGGCAGGGGCAGGGGCAGGGGGAGAGAGATGAGCGGGAGGAGGGGCCATGACAGGAACGGGAAAGGGGAGGAGAACGGGAAAGAGGAGGAGGAGGAGGAGGAGGAGGAGGAGGAGGAGGAGGAGGATGAGGAGGAGGGGGAACAATAGAGGAGGAGAGGAGGAGGAAGAGGAGGAGGAATAGGATGATGATGATGATGATGATGCTGATGATGATGATGATGATGATGATGATGATGAGGAGGAGGAGGAGGAGGGGAGGAGGAGGAGGAGGGAGGAGGAGGAGGAGAGGAGGAGGAGGAGGAAGAGGAGGAGGAGGAGGAGGAGGAGGAGGAGGAGGAGGAGGGGAGGAGGAGAGGAGGAGGAGGAGGAGGAGGAGGAGGAGGAGGAGGAGGAGGAGGACAGGAGGAGGAGGAGGAGGAGGAGGAGGAGGAGGAGGAGAAGGAGGAGGAGGAGGAGGAGGAGGAGTCGGAGAAGGAGAAGGAGGAGGAGGAGGAGGAGGAGGAGGAGGAGGACAGGGAGGAGGAGGCGGAGGAGGATAGTAGGATAGTGAGGATCAGGATCATGAGGTGCAGGAACAGGGGGGGAGGAGGATGAACAGCAGCAGGAGGGAGCATGATACGGATCTCGCCCTGGTGGTTCGACGCCCTCGGAGTGTGCCCGTGCCCGCGACGGTCCATGAGATCCGACGTACCGAAACATGTAACATCGCAAAACATCACGAACGCAGCCCTCTTTCTGCGGCATGTTTCGAGCTGGATCGACCTGGCCTGCCACTTTAGAGCACGGCCGCTATCGAGCTCAAGCCTATATCCCATGGGTACGGTGATCGCCCCCATGAGGGGCAGCGGATCAGATGTTGGACGGGCATCGTGTGCTTCTGTTTTGCTGTCGAGTTCATTGGTTGAATAGATCGAGCTGGATCGATCTGTGATGGTCCCAGGGGCCAGCATCGGGCGAACGTGCCCGAAGTGAGAAGCTGCAGCGCCCACATCGCAGGGGGCGCTCACTGGGAGTCCGGCGCCCTCAGGTCTACGACCCAGCTGCGGAGGCCGCGTGCCCGCTCGGGCACCTCGCGCTGCGGCTGGCGCTCTACCTCCTGATGGGCGGCTTGGAGCGCGCCGCGCACCTGTGCAGTGAGCCCGCCCGCTCCATCCTGGGCGCGCCCGTGGTGCGGGTCCTGGCGAGCGGCTGGCCCATCTCGAAGAAAGGAACACGCCACAACTCAGGGGAGGAACATATGCAGATGCCGCTACCCTTCCCTCGTTGCCACGGCTGGGTTCGCCTCGAAGCTCCAGTCAGAACGCACCCCAGGAGAGGTCCGTGGAGCAGCGGTATTGGCAGCCTTGCTGCTTCCCCAGTGAGCGTAACCTCTCGGAGGCCCGCGCGGATTTCTTGGATGGGCGCTGGACCCCCCTGGCGGCGCCTCCAGCGCCGCCCCTGGTGTGTTCCGCGCGCCAGGGAGGCGAGTGCAGCCAGCGCCGATCTAGAAAGTCCGCGCGGGCCTCCGAAAGTTATGCTTGTGACGTTTTCTCTTCTTCTGACATTTTCGGCCTCATGGGCCTGCTCGCATACCGCCTGGTGCGCGACGGGTCGGCGCCCGGCTGGGACCCCGCGGGTGGGCGGCCCGAGTGCGGGGAGGTGGCGGAGTCCTTCCGCGTCCGCTACCTCCCGGCCGCCTTCCAGAGCGAGGACGTCCGGTTCAGCCGCGACGTGGAGGCGGCGGCGGCGGCCCTCCTCCGGAGGGTTCCAGCGGGGTTGGGGCGAAGGGGCTTGGTCAGAAGAGGGAGGTATACTGATACCGCTACCCTTTTTTCGTCGCCACGGCTGGATTCGCCGTGAGTTCTCGTCAGAGCGCACCCTTGGAGAGGTCCGAGGAGTAGAGGCGTTGGTATTATTTGTCCCTCCACAGGAGGGTGTGGGGCGAAGGGGTTTGGGCCTACTCTCTGCGTTCTCGCGCCCCTCCAGCCCCCAGAGACGGAGGCCAGCCTGAGCCCCCCCGCACTGCTCCGTCGGCCCAACCCCTCTGAGCCCCGAGCCCCATTGGAACCCTCTAGCTCCTGGATGGCGGCAGGGGGCTGGCGAACGCGACGCAGCGATGCCTGCTCGCGGGGGCGCTGCCGCTGCTCGGCCACGCCGCCTCGGTGCAGTGCCTGGCACGGCGTGGCGCGCCGCTGCGCGCCCACGTGGAGGGCCTGCTGGAGCTGGCGGGCTCCGCCTTCCTGCGCCGGGCAGCCGCGGCCCGGCCGCGGGGGCTCGGCGGCGAGGCGTTCCGCGCGTGCGGCGGCAGCGGCCCGGCGCGGAGGGCGGCCCTGAGCGGCTCGCTGCTCTCGCTGCTGGCCGCCGGCCTGTGGGCCGCGGAGGCCCTGGCCCTGCTGCAGCGGGCGGCTGCCGCCTTCGCCTCGCACGAGCCGCGGCCGCCCCTGGGCGGCCCCGAGCCGCCGCCCGGCAGCGACGTGGTCGTCTCGTTCGACCCGCAGGAGAGCAGGTTCTACGGCAGAGGCCTGCCGGACTTCGTCGAGCACGTGTGGGGTGGGGGCGCGCTGCCCGGCTTCTGCGTGCGCCCGGCGCTGCCGTGCGCCGACGTCCTGGTCGTCCGCGACTCGCTGCCGGGGCTGCCCTTCCCAGGGGCGCTGGTGTACATTGACCACGAGGCCGGCATAGGCCCCGGCCGGGACGCGGGCCGTCTGGATGCCGAGTTGCAGAAGTACCGGGTTGTCTACCTGGGCGTCCTGGAGCCGGCAGCGGAGACCCGCTGCGCGTCGCGCGCGCAGGGCCACCGCCGCGTGTGCGCGAAGGTCTTCTCCGGGCGCAGCGCCGACCCTCCGCTGCGCGTGCGATGGAGCGACTCTGCGGAAGAGGCCCACCAACCCCAGGGAGGGGCGGCTGGACACCCTGGCGCTGGCCCGCTGCACACGCCGGAGCTCCACGTCCTGCACGTGCCCTACGCCTCGACGTCCTTCATGGGGCGCCGCGCGCACTCTCCGCTGGACCTGGCGACGGTGCCGCGGCCATTCGCGGAGAAGCCGGCGTTTCTGGGCTACATGGCATGCGGGCGGATCCAAGCGAGGGGCCGCCGCCCTGGGCCCACCCAGCGACGCCAGGGAGGCGTGCGGCAGTTTCGCGTCGTGTCGACGCGGCGGTGATCCCGCCGCGGGCGTTCAAGGTTGAACGCCGTCAGTGGCCCAGAGTCGGCCAACACGGAACGATCTGGCGATCGAAGGGCCGCCGATCGTTCAAGGCTGAACCATTCACGTGCTGTCGCTCTCAGAAACCAACGCGGGTGTCGTCACGACACGAGCTTGCCGTATCCTCCCTGGGCCCAGGATCGGCCTGGCTGGGGTCGGTGGCGGATAAGCCGGTGCCCTTCGGCCCCCTGGGATCTTTGGTCGGCGGCAAAGTAGGGTTTTTCATCCAGAGGCCACGGCCTCCGCTATCTGGATCGGCGCTGGACCCGTTCTTGCCGCGCGAAGCGCGCCAGGGGGATCGAGCGCCGATCAAAGAGATGTTCATGTTTTTTTGTTTTCTTCTTTTTCTATCGGGGCCGCCCAGGCGTGCACGGCTGGCTACATGTGAGAGTGACCCGTCGCCAGAGTGATCTTTGGTGCAGGCCCAGTTGGGTCCCTAGATTGCTGGATGCGGTGCGGCTGCAGCTGCTTGCGCGTTTGGGCCTGCCCCCCCTCCCCCACAGCGCACACCAAAAGTCGTGCACCCAGAGGTCACGAGGAGGAGGAGGAGGAGGAGGAGGAGGAGGAGGAGGAGGAGGAGGAGGAGGAGGAGGAGGAGGTGGGGAGGAGGAGGAGGAGGAGGAGGAGGAGGAGGAGGAGGAGGAGGAGGAGGAGGAGGAGGAGGAGGAGGAGGAGGAGGAAGAGGAGGAAGACGAGGAAGACGAGGAAGAAGAAGAAGAAGAAGAAGAAGAAGAAGAGGAAGAAGAAGACGAAGACGAAGACGAAGACGAAGACGAAGACGAAGACGAAGACGAAGAAGAATAATAATAATAATAAGAAGAAGAAGAAGAAGAAGAAGAAGAAGAAGAAGAAGAAGAAAAAGAGAGGAAGAAGAATAATAAGAAGAAGAATAAGAAGAATAAGAATAAGAAGAATAAGAAATAAGGAAATAAGAATAAGAAGAAGAAGAAGAAGAAGACGAAGAAGAAGAAGAAGAAGAAGAATAATAAGAAGAATAATAATAAGAAGAAGAAGAATAATAAGAATAAGAATAATAAGAATAAGAAGAAGAAGAAGAAGAAGAAGAATAAGAAGAAGAAGAAGAAGAAGAAGAAGAAGAAGAATAAGAAGAAGAAGAAGAGGAGGAGGAGGAGGAGGAGGAGGAGGAGGAGGAGGAGGAGCTGAAGCGGAGGTCTGCTATCCCCCCCCCCTTCGGGGCCGTCCGGGCCACGAGGGCGCCCCAGGACGGTCAGAAGCGTGCAGAGAGCGAGCCTCGAAGCCCGAAGCTCGATCCTCGAGCCTATCCCCCCCCGTCGCCCCCCCTGCCGTTGACCCCCGCCTTCCGGGCCCGCCCGGGCCGTACACCTGCGTCGACCACCGCGAGCGCCTGTTCGACCTCCTGGTGGCCGCGGCCGCGCGGAACGGCCTCGGCAGCGCGGACGCGCTCTCGCGGTGCGGCGGGCTGCGCTCGGGGCATCGCCGCGTGCGCAGGAGCCGCGGCCACCTGCGAGCCCCACGACTGCGGGTCCTCGTCCTCCGCATGCAGTCGTTCGCCCAGGGTGTGCGGTACGCGCGCCACTGGCATTTCTGACGCACACGCACACACGCACACAGTCCACGAAAAAGCTCAGTGCACGTCCGTCCGACGCGCAGTCCTCCACCGTTCCAGGCGCTCGGCAGTCGCTGCTGCCAGGCCATTCTCGCGGAGGCCGAAACGCCCTGCGAGGACATCCAACTCGAGCCACTTCCCCCAGATCTCTACAGTTGGGCCCCTCCCTCAAACATCCTCCTCCTCCTCCTCCTCCTCCTCCTCCTCCTCCTCCTCCTCCTCCTCCTCCTCCTCCTCCTCCCCCTCCTCCCTCAACCATTCTCCTCCTCAAGAACCCCCCTACCTCGGTGACCACTTTTGAGCTCAGACAGGCTCAGAGGGGGCAGGCTCATGGAGGAATGGCCAGGGCGGGGGCTCTGGCGATTGGTCGGTCCCTGGAGGTTCTCCTGCCTCGGGATGCTTTGCAGCTGCCCTTCGCCGAGAGCACTCCTGGGGTGCCCTGATCGTCCCGAACGGCCGCCGGATGCTCGAGTTACGACCAGAAAGTCAGACGACGAGGATCACTCGGGTTGGGCAGAAGGGTCAGATCAGGGACATCATGAGGGGGGCGGGACAGGGTGGAGGGGGACGCAGGGACCCCCAATCGCCCACCCCGCCCAGGAACGTGCGGATTTGCCATCGGGGGCCTATGGCTGATCCATCGGCGATGCATCGTCGATCCCAGGTCGGCGTCCCCCCCCCCCCCGGAGCCAGCCCCCCCCCCCTGTCGTTCCCCTTGAGGAACCACACCCGCGGCAACGAGGCCACCCTCTTCGACGAGGCCTCGGCGGCACGCGCAGCGCGGAGGAGGCTCCGCCGAAACAGCGGCGGCCCTCCCTGCTGCTCCTCGTCGCCGCGGCGGGGCCCGCCCGGAAACACGGGGGCGGGACGGGCCCCGGGAGGGTTCCGGGGACCGGTCTTGACAGGAGCTGGGCCGGGCAGGAGAGCCGCCGTTGTCTCCATGGGCCCTCCTCCGAGTACAGGGGCGGGGGTACGGTAGGTGCGCTCGTGGGTAGGGAGGCCAGGGCGAGCACAGAGGGGCCAGGGCGAGCTGAGGGTGCGCTCGCGCCAGGTCTTACATCCTACCCCTCCCGCCCATCCCTTCCCATTGCGCTGATCTGTTTCTGCATCTGCCGGCGGGTGTCGTAGCGGACTTGGAACCGCCAAAAGTACATCTGTTGAGACACGCGCAATCGCAAGGGAAGCCGCACAAATTGGAGGAGGAGGAGGGGGTGGCAGATGAGCAGGAGGATGAGCAGGAGGAAGAGGAGGAGGAGGAGGAAGGAAGAGGATGAGGAGGAACATCAGCAGCAGCAGGAGCAGGGCAGGAGTGGAAGGAGCGGGGGCAGGATGACCAGGGGAAGGCGGGGGATGGGAAAGGAACATGGTGACAACGATGAGGAATCACACGTATCCACAGAGGTGTCCCGCGCTGGGACGAGAGCGCCGTTCTGAACGATGGGAGCAAAGTGCCGATCCCAAATGAGGTCAACGCTGCAACGGGAGCATCAGTTTGAGACACCAAAAGCAAAAGCGTTCCGGTGGGTAAGAAGCAATGCGCGGAGGGGGTGGGCCACTCCTCGGCCGCAGTCAGAATTCCGATGACAAACCACTTGTTGTGAAATCTGGTGAATGACAATGCGCAAGAGGGGCGGGAGCACCGCTGCATTTTTTGTCAGGGGAGAGAGCACAGCTGTACTTAGGACGGAGTAGTTGTCGAGGGGGCTGCTTTCTACGAGGGCGGGCGCCTTCCCAGAAAGGATCCAGCCCTGCAGAGCCAGGCGACTCGCAGCAGGCTGCCCCCCCGCGCCCTGCCTCCAGCCCCAAGCCCGCCCAGAGCGGTGGCCAGCCGTTGCGAAGGTCAACCATCAAGAGGGCCACATAGCAAGAAAGGCGGCGGCTCTCAAGAAGGCCACAGACACCCAGAAGGCCACGAAAATCACGAAGGCCAAACATCCAGCATCAGACATCAAGAAAGGCCAACGTCAGAGGGGGGGGTGGCGAAGGCCGACAAACATCAAGAAAGCGAGGCCGTTGAGTTGCTGCGGCCCTACCGCTTCGCGCTCGTGTTCGAGAACAAACTGGTGCCTGGGTACGTCACGGAGAAGATCGTGAACGCCTTCCTGGCGGGCAGCATCCCAATCTACTGGGGCTCGAGCGCGGTCCTCGACGTCTTCAACGCGGACGCCTTCATCTACGCGAACGCGATCCAGGGAAGCGGCGACACCAGCGGGGCCGACCCGCTCGTCGGCCTCGACCGGGTGGCCGAGGACCGGGGGGGATCGTGCCACCCTCCCCGCGCTCGGCAGACAGGCCACCCGCCAGGGGCTGCGGACGGCCTTCGCGGTCTGGGCCGGAGGGATGCTTTTCGCCAGGGCGGTGGCGCTCACGGGCGCGGAGATGGCCCCGCGCCGCGCTTGGCGCGGCGCGGAGCGCGAGCATTAGGTGACCCAGGCGTGCCTCGCTCGAGCGGGCGAGGACGGGCTCGGTGCAGGTCTCCCAAATGGGATCCGAGCAGATGGGCGCGCCGCATCGCCGATGCATCGGCGATATCGCCGGATATGGAGTCTCCGCCCCGACGTCGCCGATGCATCGCCGACGTCGCCGCCGCATTGCCGATGCATCGCCGATGCATCTGTGATACATCAGCGATGCGGCGCGATCCTCCGACCCCATCTGCTCGGACCCCATGTGGGACGCCTCTAAGGATGCGCCTGCCCAGGGTGGTTGGCCAAGCAGCCTCGTTGTGCGACTTTTTTTCGTTGCGCTTTCTGACCCTCTCTTGTCGAAACCAGGCCTGCTTCGGAGGGGGCCCTCGGAGACTTCCAATAGGTAAGCTTTTTTTTAGACGCCGCCTGCGAGGCTTTTCGGAGGGATGCTGCTTCTCGGGAGGGTACTGCTGCCTGGCAGAGTTGCCCCTCCAGCTCGTTTCTCGTCGCCTCAGCGCAGATTCTGATGATGGTGGCCATGGGTGAGAACGATCTTGGGGACGCCGACGACGATCATGGCGATGATGCGGCTGATGGTTACGATGATGAGGAGGGTGAGCACGAACATTCCGATGATGCAGACGATGCTGGTTGGTGAGGATGACCACGATCACGAGGATGACGATGATGCCGATGACGATGATGGCGATGCCGATGACGATGATGATGCTGGTGACGATGACGACGATGGTGATGTCCAGTGCAGTGCTACCCCGCGTCTCGGTAGGGCTAGACCCTGTTTCTTCTGTCGCCGCCCCCTGCCCCAGAGGCTCCCAGAGGCCCAAGAAGGGCCAAACGTGTCCACAAACCTCGGTTCTCGTCCTCGTCCTCCTCCGTCTCCTCCGTCTCCTCCGTCTCCTCCTCCTCCTCCTCCTCCTCCTCCTCCTCCTCCTCCTCCTCCTCCTCCTCCTCCTCCTCCTCCTCCTCCTCCTCCTCCTCCCCCCCCCCTGCTCCCTTCTTTCAACAAGTGTATGATCCCACTAACAGGCTCTGGTACCCGTAAGCCAATCGTGCTCGAACGCGTCTGCCTCAATCGCTCTTCCGTACAAGCAACTCCCCCTGTCGCCTTACCAGACGTTTTCGCAGGCCAGGCCAGTCGTTTCGCTTCAGTCTTTCTTGCAAATGATTGACGCTTCGCGAATCCCCACCAGCCCATCCAGAAACGATGCCCAGAGGAATTGCCTCGATCAGGGAAGCGGGCAGCACACAGAGGAAGCCATTATGAGACATCTTGGGATATCTTGAGCAATCTTGGAGGTCATCTTGGGCTCTCCCAGGCGCTCTTGGAGTCATCTTAATCAGTGCCCCCCCCCAAGAGGCCAACATGTGGCTAAAACCTTCGTGCAATCAATGATTTGGCATTCTCGCCGAGGCCTCTTGGAGCATCTTGGGTGCCTCTGGGGGGTCTCTTGGGGCCTCTTGGGGGTCTCTTGGGAGCCTCTTGGGGGCATCCTGGGGGCCTCTTGGGGCTTCCTGGCCACCTCTTGGGGCCCTCTTGGGGCTTCTTGGGAGCCTTGGGGGCCATGTTTGGGCTACTTGGGTGAGATCGATCACTGGAGGGGGGTTACTAATTACAGTCCCCCCCTCAGGAGGCCACAATGGGGCCAACACCATAGTAAAACCAATGATTTTGGCTTCCTCGCCGCGGCCGTTTTGGACGCTCCGACGACTCGCGGAACCCCCTGTCCAGGTCCAGGGGAGGGGGTAGGGGGAGGGGTCAAGTTACCCCCTCCCCGCCCGCAAGCCGTCTCGCTCACTCCCACCCGCCCTCCCAACACATACGTAGCACCCGAGTCTGGCCCGAGCCTCAGCATATTCAGCAGTCGTCTTTGGATGGGTAGCTACTGGGGGCCAATCCGCTGCCGCCACCGCCGCTTCCGCCTCCGCCGCCGCCGCCGCCGCCGCCGCCGCTGCCGCCGCCGCAGCCGCTGCCGCTACCGCCACCGCCGCCGCGGCCAACGCCGCCACCGTCGCCGCCGCCGCCGCAGCCGCCGCCGCCGCCGCCGCCGCA